ACCTCTCCCTTGTGGCTCTCGCTTTTATAATGTGCTCAAAGTCCAGTCCCATTGTTGTGTTTGCCCTTGATCTAGTGTCCACATATGAGGGAGAACATACGATTTTTGGTCTTTTGGGCCAGGCTAACCTCACTCAGAATGATGTTCTCCAATTCCATTCATTACCAGACATTTGTTCTACACCAGGCACTGTGCCAGGTGCTAGGAATAAGACATGAATCTGGAAAACTTAGTCCTTGCCTGGTAGGAGTTAGTGGTCTAGAAGAAGTTTAGGGGACAAGAAGACCCCCAACCCCAAATGGAGAGATTGGAGGAGAGCTTCCTGATAGAACTTAAAGAAATTAGTGTGTGTGTGTGTGTGTGTGTGTGTGTGGTGTTTGTGTGTGCATAAAATTCTTGATAGAGCCCCTGCCTTGCATTTTTGCAAGGTCCTGAGTTCAAACCCTCCAAAAAGTTGTAGGCAAAGAAAATGGCAAAATAAAGGGCCAGAGAGAGCATCACATACAAGGACCTTAGAGAAGTTCTGAATGGCTTAAACAGAAGCAAGCCGGTGGGACTGGGGGTGCAGTGGGAGGGAAAAGGAACAGCTCCCAGGGGCCAACCCAGCTGCGTTACCTCATCTGATTCTCACGAGAGGGCCCTCTAGCACCCCATTTCTTGATTGAGACTATTTGAGACCCAAAGATATTTGGTAACTGTCCAAATTGTCCTTGGAAGGCAGAACTAGGATTGAGTGTGGATCTTGCTGACTCTGGAGCCGCATTTTCACCTGGCACCCACATGTCCTCCTTGGCTGCTCTGGGAAGTTTGGGTTGTAACCTCAGGATGATGGACCCAATTAGGGTTCAATGCAAGGGGTGGTGACTTGGTCTGGTTTACATTTTAGAAAATGTGGGGCACGAACACAATATAAACCAGCTGAATAGCCCTGTAACTTACAGCCTCTGGTTCTCCTTCTACCAAGAAGGGAGCAGAGAGGCTGGCAGCCAAGGTAGGTGGGCATGGCAGTATCTCTCAGATGGAGACTCTCAGGGGTGCATGCAGCTGCCCGCAGCCCTCTTAAAGGCTGCAAGTTACACAGAGGGGGATTTGGGCTGGTGTTGCTAAAGATCAGTGTTCCTGGTGGGGCGGGGGGTCAGACATTTTAGGGAGGTCTCTGGAGGCTTTTCATCTCTGAGATTTGACATTCCTGTTTTCACTCAGGCATGTGGCCTGGTAGCTGACTTACAATTTTGATCCGACTGATGGCCTGATTTCTTTCCAGCTGCCCAATTTCAGGGGGCTGGGCTGGGGCCGGAGGGGTTGAGAGGGTCTCTCTGTGGCCGCAGTGACCTAGAGAAGTCGGTGGAGAAGATCCAGAGGGATGTATCTCACAGCCACCGACTGGTGCCGGGTCCTGAGCTGGAGGAGAAGGCACTGGTGCTCAAGCAACTGGGGGAGACCCTGACGGAACTCAAGGGTAAGTCTGAGGCCACAAGGGGCTGCTCCATGGCCAGGGGCCAGTGTGAGAGTTCTGCTGTGCTCCCACCATCACCCCATGCCCCCCCAGTTCTCAGTGTTCCCTCCCGCCCAGCTCACTCCTTCCTGTCCCTTCAGCTCACTTTCCAGGCTTGCAGAGCAAGATGCGGGTAGTGCTGCGTGTGGAGGTGGAGGCAGTGAAGTTCCTGAAGGAGGAGCCGCAGCGCCTGGATGGGCTCCTCAAGCGCTGCCGTGGGGTCACGGACACACTGGCCCAGATCCGCAGGTCATTCTCTCCCTGACCTCTGACTCCTGTGGGGTCACACCCGGGGCCTAGATCCATAGGAACACCTTAACCCTTATGCTGACTTCCCAGAAGGACACTGGTGTGCCCTTCAACTGGATGTACACTTCAACTCTGACCTGTGACCCCTACACGCTACAGGCTTGGCTTTCCCTGACCTCCTCCTCCCCACCTTCTTTCCTGCAAAATCCCACAGCCCTTCTCACACCTTGCCTCCCTCAGGCAGGTTTCTTCTGATGGGCCACCACCCCCTGTCCTCACAGCTGTTCCCAACTCTCCCAACCCCAGGCAAGTGGACGAGGGTGTGTGGCCGCCCCCCAACAATCTCCTAAGTCAGTCTCCCAAGAAGGTGACTGCTGAGACGGACTTCAACAAGGGCTTGGACTTTGAAATGCCACCCCCCAGTCCTCCATTGAACCTCCATGAGCTGAGTGGGCCAGCAGAGGGAGCCCCTCTTACTTCCAAGGGCAGCAACCCCAGCAAAGGCCTGGATACTCCTGGCAAGCGAAGTGTGGACAAGGCTGTGTCTGTTGAGGTGCTGGGGCCTGGGACTGGGTGGCAAGGGGCCTGAGCTAGGTTCTCAAGTTCTTGCCACCAGTGCAAGTACCAAAGGAACATGTGGGTTCTTTTTCTTGGGGGAGGAGGGTCAGTTCCCTAATGGAAGTCTGAGAAGCATAGTCAGAGTGACATTAGTTCTTCTAGACAGAAAGCATACTATAAAGCTCTAATAATCAAAGCAGTATGGCGTTAGCATAAGAATAGGTGATGTGGTCAGTGAAACAGAATGGAATGCACAGGAACGAGCCTAAGAGTGTAGTATTTAATGTCAACAGCATCCCTCACCTGTGGGGACAGTGTATAAACCCAAGTAGAAGGATGAGGGTGTGCAGGAGACTGGTTCACTGTGAAGCTCCCTTTTCATTCTTTGCATGTCTGGCTGGGGGATGGATGGCGCCCTGGAGCTCAGGAGGGGCATGATCAGGAGTCCTGACCCTCACTCAGCCCCTCCTCTCAAGGCTGCAGAGCGAGACTGGGAGGAGAAGCGGGCAGCGCTGACCCAGTACAGCGCTAAGGACATCAACCGGCTGCTGGAGGAGACACAGGCAGAACTGCTGAAGGCCATCCCTGACCTGGACTGTGCCAGCAAAGCCCACCCAGGCCCTGCCCCCACCCCAGACCACAAGCCCGCCAAGTCACCCCATGGCCAGAAGGCAGCCCCCCGAACGGAGCCCACTGGGAGAAGGGGCTCAGGTATGAGAGTAGAGGGCCTAGGGAGAACCCAGAGTTGGGGGAGCCCATCCTCAAGGCTCTTGATGTGGTGGAGGTACTAGGGAGTGAGTACCATGGTGGCTGGAGTGCCAGAAATTGGGGTATTTGCCATCAGTAGCCAACCCTCAGCCACAGAAGGGACACCAGGACCCAGAAGGTCAGGGCAAGCTGGATCCCATCTGGGGTTCTTCCCACTGCCCTGAGAGCTGCTGAGAACCATGCAGGGAGGACAAGTCCATCCAAGCAAGGTACCAGGCTGTGCTGAAAATGTGTGCAGTGCTAAGCAATGTTGTGGTTTGTTCATTTATTCATTCCAGCAACACATGTTAACTAAGCACCTACTGTGTGTGAGGTTCAGGGGAAATGGAAAGAAGTCAGTGCTTGCCTTCGAGGCACTCAGGATTTAGTGGGGGATAATCTCACATTCCTTTTTGCCAAGCACTTACTACATGATGAGAACGGCCCGAACAGAATGCCTTCTGTATTAATCCTTATAATTTCACAACAGTCCCAGGAGGCAGAGACTGTCACTACACCCATTGTACAATGAGAACATGAAGACTCCAAACCATCAAGTAATCTGTGCACAGCCATACCTAGTGTGTAATCCAGAAAGAGAGTGCAGGGTCACATGTGGTCAGTGAGGTGAGCCATAGCTGTGAAGTCCTAGAGGAGGCCCTGGACAGCCAGGAAGGGTTTCCAGAGGAGGGGTCATTTCACTGGAGCCTTGGAAATGAGCAGGCACTTTTCCAGCTGGCCAAGGAGCAGTTGATCCAGGGAGTGGAAAAAGCTCAGGGGTTAGGGGATGGGTTTGCCTGACCAGGGTAAAAGCTGGGCAGTGATAAGCAGGGCAGAGGCTAGAGGTTGGCAGGGCAGAGGGTGCTGGGCTATGGAGCTTGGACTAGTTTGGGGTAGTGGGGAACCAATGGAGAACAAAAGGCAGAGGAGAGTCATGATTTGAGTGACCTTCAGCAAGTTGCCATGGAAACAGGGCTGGAGGAGGAATTGGGCTAAGGGAGAGCCTGGTGGGTGGGGACAGGCTCCCTAGAGAAAGGATAAGCCTAGCAGGGGCTGAGGGGTGGTGGCAAGAAGACAGATGGAAGCAGTGCTCCCCGCACTTGACTGAGTACATGACTCAGCCAGGAAGCTGTTCAAATGCATATACTGCTTTAGCAGCCCGAAAAGGAGCCCGAGCAACAGTTCTAATAAGCTTGTAGGGTACTTTGAGTAGCAAGTGCTTCGAGGGCCATTGGAGGTGGCAGACAGGATGGATGACTGGGGAAGTAATGCAGAAGTAAGTGGAGAGGGAGGGGCCCTGTGTCCTTTCCCCTGAGCCTTCCTCTCCTGATCCTCCCTGGAGGAGGGAGCAAGGTTTATAAAGCCCTTGCAGTCAGATGCAGTGCTTTGACTTCAGGGTTGCGGGTCCCCTGACTCAGTCCCTTGGTTGCTTACAGATGAACTGACGGTGCCCCGATACCGCACAGAGAAGCCCTCTAAGTCGCCCCCGCCACCCCCTCCCCGCCGGAGCTTTCCTTCCTCCCACGGCCTGACCACCACACGCACTGGTGAGGTGGTGGTCACCAGCAAGAAAGACTCAGCATTTATCAAGGTACCACCCCCGACTTGGGCAGGGACCCCAAGGGCTTGAGTTAGAGACAAGCCTGAGGTGACCTCTGGAGTCTCTGGGTGGGAGGAAAGAGGGCGTGGCCAGTGGGACTGGACTTCTAGTTTGGGATCCTGGGTATGAGTATTTGCCCTCATTCCACCTGCCCGCTGGGGGTGGGAGACTTTCTGGCAGAGGACAGAGGCAGTGGAAGATGTAGAGCGGGGGTAGGTAGAACTGATGGGTGGGGCCTAGGAAGTGAACTGGTGCTGGAGCAGGCAGACCTGGTCTTGATGGGGCGCCCCGGCCTTGCAGAAGGCTGAGTCCGAGGAGCTGGAGGTGCAGAAGCCCCAGGTAAAGCTGCGCCGGGCTGTGTCTGAGGTCGCACGGCCTGCCTCCACGCCACCCATCATGGCCTCTGCCATCAAGGATGAGGATGATGAGGATCGAATCATCGCAGAACTGGAGGTGGGTCTGGGGCACACCAAGCCCTGAGGCCTCAGCCAGGTCCACTTCCCTTCCAGGCTGGCCCCAGGGTGAGGCAGCAGGACCAGGGCAGGTGATGAGTGCTGGGCCCAGGACCCTATCTTTCTTGTCTCCTTTTTTTCTCCACTGTAAAATGGGGGACATAAAGTCACTATTTGAGCCAGGTGTGGTGGTGCATACCTGTAATCCCAGCACTTGGGAGTCTGAGGCAGGAGGATCAGCCCTGGGCGACATAGTGAGACCTCCATGTCAATAAAAAAGTTCCTCTTTGCAGGTTTGAGTTTTTTTATTATAGTGTGCAAGAACTCCAAGTACCCCAAGACACCCATATTATGACAGCCCCATACCTGCATATTCCAAGATCACTGAGTGCTGAGACCTCCCCGCCCCGGCAGATATTCTGAGAACAGCTAGTGCTATGAGACCCTCACACCTAAGTATTCTGAGCACAGAATGCTGGAGACCCCCCCTCCCTCACTGCCCGAGGGTTCTGACCTCTCCAGCACTGTAAGTGCTCCAGTGTCCTCAGCACTCCAGCCCCAGCCAGCCCCCTCCCGGGATGACCAGGGGGCGATGGAGGAGGGAGAATGGAGGGCAGAGCCAGCCAGTGGCCATGGTGAGTGGCCAAATGGGGATGCCATCCCAGGCCACTGTCCCGTGGGTGCCTGGGCCATTGGCCAGCACGGCCATCATCCCAGAACTCCCATCCTCCAAATCTGCTCCCGCCTTCTGCTCCCCAGGTGTTTGAGAGAAGTTCAGTGTCTTCCCTCCCCCCCACGCCCCGCCGCCAGCTGATCCCCACCTTGCTGTCCCCCCAGGACCTGGGGCCCCCCGGGGGTTCAGCCCTGGGACCCACACGGAAGGTAACGGGCTTCCCCCCACTTCTCATGGCTCTCTTTGCCTGTGCCTCCACAGCTTCCTCTCTGCACTTCTCCCGCTAACCTGCTAACACGCATCACGCCAGTCCCGCCCGCCACCACCCCGGCTTCACACACATGGACTCTCCTTCCCCTGTGCCCTGGGAGTGCATAACTCATCTTTCTGTGGCCTTCTAGGTGGACCATCCCCTGAGACACCAGCAACCTGAGTGTCTAGTGACTCTTTGAGTCTGTGTTCTCTTACAGGCGTGGTGCTGAGTCTGGCTTGAGACAGCCTGGGTGTTTTATTCCAGTTTGCAGCCTGAGTTTAGGTTTAGCCCAAAGCCTGAGTGTTGTCTTGGGCTGAGAGTGGAGTTTGGATCTTGCTTACAAGATGACTTAGGGTCCAAGTCAAAATCTCATTTTGTTCTGAGCTCTTGCCTATCCCCCTCACCCATGCCCTGCTCTGCTGCTTGTGCTGGGGGAGTGGGCTCTGCTTTTTCTACTAGAATCTGTGCCTTGTACTGAGGGGGCCAGGGCAGCCTGGGGGAAGGGCTCCCCTACAGCCTTCCTCTTCCCATGGCCCATCTTGTCCCCTTGGTCAGGGAGCATGGAATGGAAGAAACTCATGCCTGCCCTTGGCTGCTAGTTCTGTCTTTCAGCATTGGGAAGTTCTTCCTTCTCTCTTTAACTTCAGTACTTGCTGCTATCCTGCTGCACTTATTTCTTCTTGGGAATTTGGGGGTGGACCTATTGTCTATACCCCATGGGACTGTGCTTGGGGAGGAGGATGGAGGGAGGGTTGGGGACCAGTTGCTCCCTCTGCCTGGCCAGGTGGGGCAAGAGGGCCTTTGCCCTGGGGAGGGGCAGCCTCTAGGACACATATCCCTCACCTTTCTTGTGTGATTCTTCCTGGCCCACAGTGGCCTCCATGATAGCAACCATCTGAATACTGGCCTGGCTCGAGGCCTGGTGGCACTTTGGTGTCCTGGCAGGGAAGCAGACAGGCATTGGATCCTGGGCAGTGCTGTACTGGGCCAGGGTGGCACACGGCAGTCTGAGGAGCCACTGGGGGCTGATCAGTGTGGAAGGGGCACTTCATGGCTGGCTCTGCTCTCAGTACCTAGCTCTGACCCTTTCTGGTTCTGGGGACCAGACCTGAAGGTCCAGCAGGCAAGGCCCCTTCCTTGGCCTTTGGGGCCTAACTGTCCCTCTGCATCCTGAGGTGCCATCAGGCCATGGAGCCGGGCAAATGGGAGATGCTCTGTCTTCCTGCCCAGTCTGCACCCCCCTCACCTTCAGGTAAGCAGGCACAGGACTGGGTGGATTGCATCAGAGGGGTGGGTGAGCTCCCCTCAGTCCCCTGTAGCTCCCCACAGCTCCCTTTAGTGGAAAGAGTACTAGACTTGTAGTCAGGCTGTCTGGGTTCAAATCCTGGCTCTGCCATAACAGCGACGGTGAGTGAGTCACCTAAAGCCCTCACCTATGAGGTAGGAGTGGTGAGGGGGTCATGCCGTGCATGGAGGTAAACGTATATGACGGTGCCCGGCATAGATTGGTGCGTGGAATTAGGACTGGACTCACTCAGCTTGGGTGCTCTTTGGGGCCCTCTCTGGGTCCTCACATAGGAGCAGGCAACCAAGGGGGTGTGGCAGAGGAACCTGGCCAAGGCTGAGCTCCGCCCCTTTGCTGTGCAGCCCCCTTGGGAAGTGCTCACAAAGATGGGAAGGACTAGGAATGTCTGGCTTGAGGATGAGCCCCCCCCCCCCGCCTGAGGCTGTGTCTGCTTTATGTCCACATAGGGCTGGAGGTCTGGGTCATTCAGTTCACTTCAGAAAATAGCTTGTACTAGCTCACGACGCACCAGGCACTGGGCTAAGCTCGTTCCCACATGGACTCATGAAATTTGCTACCAACTCCACATTGTTGTCCCATTGCACAGATGGACAAACTCATGGGGGTGACCCTGAGACCAGCTCCCAGGTTTAGCCTGGGCAATAAGAAATGAATGTGAATCTGTGCTTCAGTGTAAACTGTCTTTACCAGGAAGTAGGAAGGTGTGGGGTAGGGTGGAAAGAGACCTGAGCTCAAGTTCCAGCTTTGCCTCAGCTTACAACATCAGTCAGGACCATCCTCTGCCTCAGTTTCCCCATTGTGACAGGGAGGAGCTGGACTCACCCATTTCTAATACCCCATCCTAGCTCAGGGTTTGGCTTGTAGGGATCACGTTCTTCCTCACCTTCCTTCTACCCCCAGGCTGCCCCAGGCCCCAGGGTGTTTTGTGTCCCACGGATCATCTTGACAGAGTGCCCCCACAACCCTCCCTCCATACCAGAAGCCAGCTTTGAGGAACCAGATCCCAGGAAAACCCCCACACCAAGACCCCGGACCCTGGCTGTCAGCAGGAGGGCCTGGAATTGCCCACAGGCCTTGCCAGGGCAAGCAGCTGAGGCTCCCCAGTCCAGCAGCAGCCTGGTAATGGAGAAGGAAGGGTCAGCTCAGAAAAGCCTGGCCATAGGAGGTTGCAGCCTAGAGGATACAGGAGCCCGAGTTTCCCGTCCTCAGGGACCAAGTATGGCTGAGACTCAGAAGCCCGCCTCTGTTGAGACCCACTCAGAGGAGACCTCCAAGGATTCTGGATGGGATGACCAAACCTGCAGTGGGGAGCATCCTGTGGCCAACCCAGGCTACGCAAAGCAGAGTGTCACCCTGCAGCGGATGGACAGCCTGGAGGAGACACTCCGGGAGCTGGAAGCCACCCTGAGCGAGATGGGCACTGCCCCCACCATGGGGCATCCTGGCAGCCCCCCACCCCTGCCCCTCAGCCCCCAGGTGGCTGCTTTCCCCCAGTCCTCTCCTGCTTTCCTGCTCCAGTCTCTGGGCCTTCAGTGTGGAGGGAGTGGAAGCTTCTGGAGGACCATGCCAGCCCTCCTCCCTTCTCTCAGCTCACCACCTCCTGAGAGCCTGCTGTCAGGCCAGGGCTTGTGGCAGAGCCTGAGCAGGCTGGGAAGCCAGCCCGCCCAGGACTCAGCCTTCCCAGCCTCAGCAAGGTCCAAGAGGGGCCTCTCTTTGCTCTGTATCTTTAAAGTCAACAAATAAAGATCTCTTCTCCCCTTGTCTACCCCACGTTCCCCACACCTATCTCTGATTCTCTCTGTCGCTGTTATTTCTCTGCTTGCGTCTCTAGGTCCTCAGAGTCCTTCTAAGCAGGCCTGGTACCTGAGGGGGACTTGCCCATATCTGAGGAGACTTCATCTTCTGCCTCCCATTAGGGGGGGCTGGTGTAGGTGGACCTGGGGTCTGCCAATCCTGCACTGTCTGCCATTAGGGAATCCCCTAACCCTGTGCTCCTGGGCCCAGGGTAGTATTTCTTGCTGGAAGTGATGTGGTGCTGGGGACCCTCACTGTAGAAGTGGCCTCCCTGGGAAGGCACCAGATGCCCCTAGGCTACTCAAGAAAACCACAAAGGAGGTTCCATGAGGCTCAGGAGAAGCCCCGAACCTGAGTGGGACTGAGTGCTGGACTGGGTCATGTTGCCAGGGAGGGGTCTTAAGGTCTCCAAAGGCCTGACCACGGAGGTCCCAACCCCAGGGGCTCCACTCAGCACCTAGAGTTCCACACAGGAGCCTCCAATTGCATCCCTATTTCTCTTCCCACAGAGTGGCAGTGGCAGTGTGCCACCCATGAAGGTGGTGACTCCAGGGGCCTCTCGGCTGAAGGCGACCCAGAGCCAGGCAGGCAGCCCGGACAAAAGCAAGCATGGCAAGCAGAGGGCGGAGTACATGAGGATCCAAGCCCAGCAGCAGGTGAGGGTGTGGATGGGAGGCCCGCTGAGGCTCACTCAGGCCATGGGCACTGAGCCTCTGCCTATTCCCGTGAGCACTGTTCCTCACCGGCTGCCCAGTGTGACCCTCAGTCCTAGGCATAACTGGCCCCCCTAACTCTGGAACCATCTTCTCCCTCTTCCCAGCCCTTAGATGTGAGTTCTCAGCCGGCTTCCCCACCCCAGGAGCCCCTGCTCGAAGGCAGAGAAAACCCACACCCGAACTGTGCTTTGCTTGCCCCTGGGGAGGGGGCATGGGCTGATTCATGATTCCACCAGCCCCAGTGACTGGGTCCCTTTTAAGGCCAGCCTGCCCGGGGCCACCTCTCCTTCTGCCCTCCTGGCTCCTCTCTGCTTGTTCCTTCCTGTGCACTGCTCCCCACCACTCTTTGGCTCGTCTCCTATCCCAGCCTTCCCCAGTACAGGGAGCAGCCAGCGTCGCACGTGCCCTTCCGCCTGTGTGCGGGTTTAGCCGTTCACCGCTGATCTTTGTAAAGAGGCTGGGGGTGAAGCAGAATAGAGAGGAGGTAATTTGGCCCCCAGGTAGGGGCAAATGCCTGTGCATTTCATTGGCAAGCTTGGAGCATGGGTGTTCATGGGCTTCAGCCTGCCATGTGGCCTGGTCAGAGGGCACAGGGTGATCCATGGTCTAGATATTGAGAGACCTTCCATGCACTTGGTCAGCTCAGTAACTACCCTGAGCAACCCCCGTATGTCAGGCTCTAAGGTGGGCCTTGATCTGACTATATGCTTTGATTTCCAGAAAGTTCTAGGCTCAGAAACAGGAGGTTAGATTTGGATGAAGCAAGCCACCTCCTTTACAGATGAGGATAGAACTCAGAACAAGAAAGGGACTTTCCAAAGGTACCCAGAAGATGCCATCTGTGAAATCCAGAGCCACTTGCTACCACAGATAGGCACCAGGGCAGCCCTGGGCACACAAAGCCCTGCCTGCCCGTCGGCTCCCAAAAAACACTTGGCCTTCCAGCCTCTGCTCGCCAGCCCTAACCTTCTTCATGGCCCCTTAGACACACCCCACCAGTCCCGTCCTCAGCTCTTTTTCTTTCCACCACCATGGATGAAAGGGCCAGGCTGGTTCCTCCTTTATGCCCATAAGAACAGCTAACATTATAGGTGTTCACTTGTTCCAGACACATACGTTATCTCCTTTCCCACCACTTAGGTAGGGTCTTACGCCCATTGGATAGATGGGGAGACTGAGGCTGGGGAGCAGGATGCAAATCAGCACCCCCCCATGCATACACATGCTTTCACCTCTTCAGCAGCCCCCCAGCTGTGATTACATGCCAGTGTACCCACAGCCCAGCCCCTCTGCCACTTATGGAATGTCCTGCCCTGAGAGTCAGGGCACACATTTAGGCCTGACTCTACCAATGATCCTCGGCCTCCTTCAGTCTTTCGCCAGGCATGGCGAGGTCTCCAGGGGCTAACAGGTTCTCTTCGTCCCCTCTTCCACAATTGTGGCTATATAGACACCTACACACATGTCTGTGGACTGTGTGACCCTTCCTGCCTCAGCATCCTCCCCAACCCCCATCAGCCCTCACATCAGCCCTCCTGCTCCTTTCTGGACATTTCTCCTCAGCCCACCACTTCACTTCCCTATCCCTGGGTACATCAGCCCTGTCTTCTCTCATCACACAGTTCTTTCCCTGGGCCTGAGGCTCCACCTAGGCTCTGCCTCTCCTGCCCAAGTCTCTGTGCTAGGCTGTAGTCACCCCTCACCTATCTGCCAGTCCCTAGGCTCCTCCCCTCCCAGGGTAAGGGCTGCCCACCCCTGGGGCTCTTCTCTGTTCGTCATGCCTAAGAATGCTCAGTTGTCCTCTCTGTACCTGACCTCTGTCACTCTCACTATGCCAGTAGCCTTTCTTTTAAAAGATTTCTTCTTGGGCTGGGGATATGGTTCAAGTGGTAGAGCACCTGCCTAGCAAGAACAAGCTCCTGAGTTCAAACCCCAATAGCACCAAAAAAAAAAAAAAAGCAGGGAGGGAAAACCATAAGTGTCATATCACCTAAATACATGGTCTTCTAAGGTCACCCTGTGATTTCTGTCATCTCTGGCTGATTTTCTAAAACCTGCTGGGACTTGATAAAGTGCAAACTTGATTCTCTCTTTCCCACACACAGGGGTTTAAAACTGACCCCAACCTGAATCCCTTCATTGCTGTCCAGGACTCTTCATGGCTTGATTCCCCTTGCCTGGTCCTCCCACCAGCCCTCCTCCTTGTGATGCCAGAGGTGTGCTCCAGCTGCTTAGATCACATGGTTTTGCCTATCCAGGCTGTGGCCTGTCTTCTCCAGACTCTTTCTTTCCTCATCTGTACAATGGGAGAACAAAAACAGCCAGCAGGGTGCTGAGATCACAGGGAAGAGCTTTGAAAACCCACGCAGTGCTCTACAAAGGGAAGAGTTGCCAGTGTCCTCTGTGGGTGTATGCATTTGCCAGAGCCAACTCTGGCACTTGGCACTCAAAGCCACCTTTGACAATGATGAGATGAAGGAATAGAAGTGGCGGGACACAGAAATGGGGGTGGAGGAGAGAGCGTTCCCAGAAGGGGTGCATTGAAACGGCTCCTGATACTACAGAGGAGATGGAAGAAATGACTAAGAAAGAGTCTTGAGTGTTGTGCTCAGGATTTGGGGGGAGGTTCCAGAAGTAAGGCAAGAATTAAGGGCTTGGTGTAGACAAGAAGCCATGGATAACCCCCTCTTCTTTTAGGACTAAGAAACTCGATAGACTACTTATTCTGTCCCTGATGGCTCAGATGAAGAGACCTTGGTGAAGGGACTGCCCCAGAGGGTGGAGGGATAAACAGGGGATGTTGAAGCTCCCAGGAATGAGCAAGAGGGGGAGTAGTGACCTCCTGAGGGGGAAGAGCAAAAGGACATAGCACAGCTTCCTGCTGTTGCTCAGCCCTGGGTAACACAGGGAGTGACCAGATGAGGATCTACCTCATCAGGATAATCCACCTGCATCAGGATGGAACTCTAAGCAGAGCATGTGGTTCATTTCCATCGCTGGGCAGCGAAGGGGTGCTGGCCTCAGTCCAGCTAAGTGTTCTACGTCTCTCAGCGAAAACCTGAACATTTAGGAAGTTTCTGCCTTGTGACAAAGGAGACAAAGTTCTGCTTCTCTGGACAAAATTGGGATCCACAAGGGAGACTGGCAGGTGACACGGAAGCGAGAGAACCCCTGAGAGACAGGCCATGATTCCTGAGAATTCTGAGCAGCACAGGATGGAGTACCATTGGACCTACTGTCTCAGCTTCAGGACAAGGGGTTTTGGATAGAGCTGCAGCCAGAATCTCCTTGAGGTGGGGAGAAGAGGATGGCCCCTGAGGACCTCACAAAACACATGCTACATACAGAGTGGCCCCCAAGTAGTCTTTGAGAAAAGAGGCTAGGGAGGCATCATAGAAACTCATGAATGTGGCCAGGTGCTGGTGGCTCACACCCATAATCCTAGCTACTCAGAAGGCTGAGATCAGGAAGATCATGTTTGGAAGCCAGCCCAGGCAAATAGTTTGTGAGACCCTATTTCGAAAAATATCCAACCAAAAAAGGGCTGGCAGAGTGGCTCAAGTGATAAAAGTGCCTGCCTAGCAAGTGTGAGGTCCTAAGTTCAAACCCCAGTATCACCCAAAAAGTAAGAAAGAAGGAAAGAAAGAAGTTCATGAATGCTAGATGTCTATGGTGGCATCTAAAGGCCTTGACTGGCTGTGAGGGGAGATGGGCATGTCTACTGATGACGACAGAAGCTGGAAGGCAAGCGTTTAGAAATCCAAAGCTTGCAACAGACCAAGGCCCTTGAAAAATGCTAAAGGGAAGGAAGAGAGAAAGCTTTCAACTAGAAAGGGCAGTACAGAACAAAGAGGACAGCCAGGAGGGAACCGACACCTTGCTTGGGGACGTGGCGAGATATGAAGAGACTCCCGAGAGAAAGCAGATGTCCTCTCCTATGTAATTTTGGGAGGAAGAACTTTAAGTAGGGAGGGCTGGAATGAAGGTGGGGGGTGCTGGGCTGAGCCCAAAGTGACTCAGTGGTAGGAGGGCTCTTGCCTGCCTCTTTTGAGTTTGTCTCCAGGCTCAGGTACCGGAGCCCCTTGAGGGCCAGGTCATGTCTGACCATAGCAGTGGACAAAGAATGCTGGAAATCAAAGGTCGTGCGGCTATGGCCCAGGATCCCCGAGTAAAGGAGGAGCAGCCATGGTATAGAGGACAGCCGAGAAAACCTATACTGTTGCCTTGACCTTCATAAAAAGGAAACGTTGGCTGCAAACTGCAGTGTTGTAAAACCCAGATGAGTTACTGATTGGATCATCTGACTAGAAGAAGAGAGGTGATCCCTGCAACAGGGTGGCTCCCCAGGAACCAAGGCCTCCTGTTGCTTTCTGGCTGCAGAAGGCAGGACTTGCTTAAGACATTGTTCCTCCTTCCCCTGCAAGATACCTGCAAAGCCAGGAGCTTGGTGAGCACATAGGGCCCAGACCTGACCTCAGGGAGGTCTCTGTGACATGCTACAGGACTCTGCTTTCAGTCTTTGTTTGTTGTTTTGTTTTGGGGAGCTCTTACTATGTAGCTCAGGCTGGCTTCAACTTCTGTTAACCTCTTTCCTCGGCCATGTGCCACCATACCTGGCTTTTTCTTTTTTTTAAATCAAGGATGTTCAGTTATCACATTATTCAGCTACAAGGTGAATACACTTACAGGGAGAACTCAAGCCTGGTCTGCATCACTCTAACTCAGGGATCCCAAAGTTAAATGTGCAGCAAACTCTCCTAGAACACCTGCTTAAAATGAACACTCCTGAGCCGCACCAGAGATTCTGGAGGGGGTCCAGGAATCTGCATGAGTGACACATACATGTTGTCCCCTAGAGATGATGCTGATGTTTCTCGAACCACTTTGAGATCACAGATCCAGAGAGCAAGTCCCTAAGACCATTAACAATAAGGAAGTCTGTGGGAAGTGGGGAGGGTGAGTGGAATGCTCTGACCATCAGAACTGGCTAGGAGTACAAGTGGCCTCCCTGCTACCAGTGTGGGCATTTAGAGCTGGGGGACCCTGCCCTTTGGATGCACTGGGACCTCCTATGCTGGGATGGAGGCTGGGTGCTACAGTGCCTTCTCCCCCAGATTCCTAGCTGGGTCTAGGAAGGACAAGCTTACTCGTGCTTCCCCCAGAGGCCTCCTGCCAAGGCCGGAGGGGGCCATGAGTGCTGGGCTGGGCTGCTGATCTCTCTGCTTCCAGCTCTAGATGCATCCCTGTTGCAGCTAACATTTTTTACTTCTTCTCCCTCCCTTCCCCCACCCTCCCCTGCCCTTATGTCCCCTTTGCCTATCCTGGGCTGGGTTTCTCTTGTGCTCTGGTGTCTTTCTTCTGCCTTCTCTCTTTCCTATCAGTAACCGTGGACAGACCTCCCCCCACACTCTGGTTTCCAGGCCCTTTGGTCCAACCCTGCACCTCTCTCCCACCTTTCTGTCCCTGCTAAGCATTACCCCCCTCCAATTTAGGGGACCCCTCTCTCCAGATGCCCCTCTGTTTTCTCGCTTTTGCAGTTAACTTCCTCTTGGATTTGTTGAGCTTTTCCATTTTTCAAAACTTCAGCTGGGAGCTAGCATGAAGGCTCTCCTTTGCTCTCTCTCTCTGACCCCTGAACCCTGTTTTTGTTCCAGGCCACTAAACCATCTAAAGAGATGAGCGGGTCGAATGAGACCTCGAGCCCAGTCTCAGAAAAGCCCTCGGGTTCCAGAACCTCCATCCCTGTATTGACTTCCTTTGGGGCAAGGAATTCTTCCATCTCCTTCTAGAGGCCCCTCATACCTCTGCCCCAGCCTGTCTCCTCCCTCACTCCTGCCATCTCTCCCTACTTCTTCCCTTCATCTCCACCCCACCCCCCCTGTCCTCCAGACCCTCGGAAGGCTTGCCAGGGCATGGCCCTCTTCAGCCCTCTGTATTCATCACTTGTTGGTGTTTTTGGTTTTTTAGATGATTCTTTTTTAATTAACTTTTTTTTTAAGAGCAAAATTCAAGTAAAAACCAAACACACCACTTTCCCTTGACTTCCTGCTCCCAAATGGCCTGTCCTCAGCCCACTTCTTGTCATCCTCTCTCCCTCTTCTCTTTCACCCTGTTCCAAGTCCATACTGTAGTTCCTGCCTCCTACCTCCTTCCTGCCTTCCCTCTAACTTCCCAAGAATACTCGGAACACTCTCTGAGCCACGGAGACTTGGAGCAGCAAGAGTCCCCTCCCCTTTCTGCATCCCTTCCTGGAGGATCATGTGGACAGCGGACAAGCCCAGCATCAGGCTGGACAATGTGACATCTCTGGGAGACCCTGGCCCTGGAGATGCCCCTCTCCCTGTCCAACCTTGGACAAGACATGAACACTGCTGCTTCTCTGCTCCCCTCCTCTCGTGCCCCAGTGGGCCTGGAGGCAAGATGGACAGATGGGAACATGGGACCAGCCAGAGACAAGGCCCAAATCTGAGAGGCCTCAGCTGGGCATGAGGCCAGAGGCCTGTGTCCCTGGGGAGGAGATGGATTACTGGAGCCCAGTGTCTTGTGCTGGTTGCTGCTGGGACGGTGCCATGGGAGGAAGGAGACCCTGTGGAGGGTGGGCTTGTGGACAGACTGCTGCTGGGGCTCTGCCTTGGGAGAGGGCAACCCAGAGAGGGACATTTGGTACTTTTAGTTTTCTAATTTAGCACTTTAAATGCCATTAACTTATTTAATGGGGTGGGGTAGGCAAGACTAAAGGGCCTAGAAAATTAGGTTTGGAGGCCTGTGGGGGGGGAGGGTCTAGTTGTGAGGGTACTGGGGAGAACAAAGGGGACTGGTGGGGGGCAGTGAGGATGAGGACAGCTCTGGCCCTTCAGCTGAGAATGACCTGACCTTCAGCCTTCCTCTGTAATTTGAGGGTTTTCAGGGAGGAGGTAAGATCTGTGGGGATCTGGTGACCACTAGTAAGATGTTTGAGGGTCCCCGAGGCCTGAGCAGCGGGCCAGTGCCCCTGCCTGTGAATGCTCTGCCCTTCAGACAGCAGACTGGCTTCTGGCCTGGCCCAGGAGAGGGGAGGAAGAGAATGATTTTGGTTCTCAGTCATGGCACCTGGGAGCACAGAGTGGAGGGGAAGCAGGGAGATGATGTGGAGCGGGTGGAGGAAGAAGACTGAGTAGACTCCTGAGGGAGCAGGTTCCATTTGGAGCACAAAATGAAGTAAGCACAGGGAGAGGGGGGCATTGGGTTTGGTCCTCCAGTAAGCACAGAACGGAAGGAGCCATTGAAGGGGACAAAACCCCAAGACTCTGGGGTCTGGTGGGGAAAGTCAGTGCATGGAGACAGCTGGGGGGAGCTGCCAAGGGCTTGGGGAGGGAGGGGAAACTGAGTTGTGTTTCTTCATTTTTTTTTTCTTTAATTTATTTTTTTGTTTCTGTTTTTGTGTCTGTTGGTTCATCCTTGTTTTCTAGCTTTGGATCATTTTTGTACCAAGGCAAGCAAACCTTTTTGAAAAATAACAAAAGAAGAGGGGGAAAAAAAATCCCTCCCCCCCCCAAAAAAAAAGAAAAAGAAAAGAAAACCCTAGAAAATAGGAAGAAAAAAAAAGGACCTCATAAATGATGCAATTACTTTTAATTGCAGGCAACTCTTTACATTTAAGTGAAGTGTCTTAACATTTTATATTGTTTTAAAAATATATTTACATATTATATATATATAATATACGTAATATAAATATATAGAAATATTTAAAAAAGAAAACAAACCACGTCACTCTCCCTGGCCGCTGTTTCAGCAGGGGAGGGGCTGGGGGCCTGGCTTCTGTGTCCAGTGAGGCGGTCTGGTTTGATTTGGCTGTACAGAGACCCTGACTTGGAGGGGAGGGGGCGTGGTGCCCCCTCCTCCCTCCACTCCATTATTCTCTGCTTGCTTCTCTTTGCTTGCCCCCACACCCACCTCAGCCCTGTGACCTGAGTGTGTGCCCCGCTGTCATAGTCCTAAGTTGAATGTCCCTTTGTGGGGGTAGGGGATTGATGGGGGGCGTGTCCATCCATGCAGGGGCTATGCAGAGAGCCAGGTCCTGTCCCAGCTGCCCAAGTTGAGCCAGTGGCACTTGTGGCTGTCTTCACTTTGGTTCCTGCGCATTTATGGGCCAGGAGGCATTTGTGTGGGATTGTGTGCAGCCTGCGTGTGTGTGTGCGCATGAGTTGTGTATGTGACGTTTGAACGCTGGCACAAGTCTTTACCCATGTGTGCAAATGCAGGGAACGTGCGTGCACAGGCATGACCTGTCACTTGTGTGGACCTGTTTGAGCATCCATGTGGGGGTGAGAGGAGCTTTGCAAGAGAACACATGTAATGTGTGTGCACATGTGCTGGTTGCTTTGTGGGGACCACATATATATGGACATGGAGGTGCATGTGACCTTGTATCTCAGGTGTGTGTGTGTGCTGGTGCAGACAGGAGCGTGGGCGTGCTTGAGAGTGCATGCATGTGTGTGCGTGTCTACCATCCCTGCACCACTCGTCCGGCTCCTCTTCCAAGCCCTCCCTCCCTCCCCCTGGCCTCTCAAAGCCCACAGCACGTCGATGCCCCCAGCTGCATGCGTCTCGCTGCTCTGTCCATCAGTGTGTGCTTGACCAAGAAAAACTCTGATGTCCAGGGGACCCCTGGACCTGGTCCCTTTGCCCCTGCCTCTGCCCACTGTGCTGTGTTACTCGCATGGGGGGATTTCTCTCCTGCCCCTTCCACAATATGCTGTTTCCGAGGAGCCTCCGGGCCAGGGCTCTGAGTGGGGTCCCATGCAGGGCCCCCAGAGCAAGCCCAGCTCCACCCGCCCCGTCCACCCCGTAGGGCCCGTGTTGGTGTAACAGTGACGGCTTCTGTGGATGTTGTGTGACCTCTGTTGGTGTAACTTGACAATTTCTAAATGGAAAAGGGTTGCTGTGTTTTCTGTCTCTCTTTTTTAATGTCCTTTTTCTTCTCCCCACCTCCCTGCTCTCTTTTCTTTTTGGTTTTTCTAGCCAAGTGTTTGGGGCTTTAATAAAACTTTTTCTTTTTCTTCTCCTGGATCTCTTTCCTGTCGGCTGCTGCCTCATTATTTCTCCTCTTCCCCCTCATGGCCCAGAAGGAGTTGGGGTGGATGGGCAGGGTGGACAGTTAGGGCAGTCCTCAGGCCTCAGAAAGCAGGACATGGAAGAAGAGGGACAAGATGGGCCAGAGGACTGGTGCTGCTCAAGGTCCGTGAGAGCCAATACCATCCCAGGTGCTGAAGAGGGACCCCATGAAGTCTTAGGGACTAGCTCCAGGCTGGGACCCCAAGAGATGCACGTTTAAATTCCATGACCATCATCAAGGTGGCTCTGTCACTCCCTATGCCTGCAAGTAAGAAAGCCAGCCCTCAGCAACTAGGGAGCTGGAGATGTGGAATTTGAATCCACTCTGTCTGACCCCAAGCTGATGCTGTCTCCAAACCCAACAGGATCAGTGACCTCCAGCAGTAGCTTTCAGATTTCTGAAATTTTAACGGGAATACATGCACTACCCTCAGTGCTGAAGCTTGCAGGCACACATGCAAACACACATAAGGAAATGAGACACCAGGTACTTCTTTCACCCTTCAAATGCCACCTGAGCAACTCAGGCAGTGACATGAGGAGACAGGCCTGCGATGGTCATGTCAGTGAGTGATGGGGACCTCTTCAGGATGACTGGGCTCTGAGGTCCCTCCATCTAAGTGAAGAACTTAAGAACAAGGATTGGCTTTGTGGGAGCTGGTTGCTGAGGATCCAGGCCAAAGGTCCATGGATGGAGAGTTCTACAAAATGAAAACCATATCAAGCGAGGAGGGAGAGGTTGGGAGTTGGGCAGAAGCCCATCATGTGTGGTTGTGGGCTGTATTAAGGAACGTGGATTTCTTCTTGGAGAAAAGGAAAACGATGGGAAAGTTTCAAGTGAGAAAATGTCAGCAATCTAACAACTGTTTCAGCATTGGCTTCAGCTGCAGCGATGGGGAGGCAGAACCATGGTTTTGGGCCAGAGCCAGCTCCTGGACTCACTAACATTAACAACCCAAGCCGGGCACCAGCGGTCATGTCCATAATCCTAGCTACTCAGGAGGCAGCAATCAGGAGGATCGTGGTTTGAAGCCAGCCCAGGCAAATTGTTCATGAAAACCTAACCCAAAAATACCTAACCCAAAAAAGTCTAGTGGAGTGGCTCAGAGTGTAGGCCCTGAGTTCAAGCCCTGATACTGAAAAAAAAAAAAGCTAACAACCCAGTGGTTGAGGTAGGGAAGGCCGAGGTTTAGAGGCTATAGTGAGATAATGGAGCAAGAATGGAGCCCTGACTCATCCCTTCCCTTAGCTGCTCTTCACCCATGCTGGGTTTTTTTTTTTTTTTTTTGGGTATTAGGGGTTGAACTCAGGGTCTTGCATTTGCTAGGCAAGTTCTCTACCACTTGTGCCATTCTGAGAGTCCATTTTTAGGTTGCCTGTTTTTGAGATATGGTCTTCCTTTATGCCCAGGCCAACCTGGACTGAATCTTCCTATTTTTACTTCCCCACTTAGCTGGAGATGACTGGTGCACACTGTCACACCAAGTCACTGGTTGAGATGGGGTCTCCCAAACTTTTTGCTTGGCCTGGCCTTTAATTGTTATCCACCTGGTCTCTGCCTCATAAGTGGCTAGGATTATAGACATGAGCCACTAGGCCTAGCCTGTTAATACTTTGAAATACTAATCACTCTCGTTTATAGAATGGTCATTTGATCTTCTTATGACTCTGGCAGGAGACGCTGTTAACCACCATTGTGGTGGTTGGGGAAGGAGAAGCAAAACAAGGGTTGGAGTCAGGTCAGCCTGGCCTTAGAGCTCAGGTCCTACTGAGTAAGAGACGAACAGGAACCTGGGCGAGCCGTCTTCTCCTCTCCTTACCTACTCCACATCTTCTCTGGGTTCCTCAGGGTATTTTTCTTCCTTAGTTTTTAAATTTTTTTTTTTACTTTTAAGAGATGAGAGTTTCACTCTGTTGCCTGGGCTGGCCCCAAATTCTTGGGCTCAAGCAAGCCTCCTGCCTCAGCCTCTGAGTAGCTGGAGAGAAGTAGTTCTTCCCTTTGATTTTGTTTTTTTTTTCTTCTTTTGCTGTACTGCTGAGGTTTGAACCCAAGTCCTACACTTTGAGCCACTCTACCAGCCCTTTTCATGATAGGTATTTTTGAGAACTATTTGCCCAGGCTGTTGCTAGGATTACAGGAATGAGCTGCCGGCACCTGGCTATGATGGTTTTTTTTTTTTTCGAGATAGGGTCTCAGGAACTATTTGCTCAGGCTAGCTTCAAACCGTGATCCTCCTGATTTCTGCCTCCTGATCTTTGAGTGCCATAAGTGATCCCTAAGCACAAAAGGTACTGAGCTCAATCTACAGAGTTGGGGCCTTGGGCTGGTGACCTCTGCCCTTACCTGGTTCCCACAGATGCTGAAGATTAATGCTACCCATAACAACACACTTGGAAGGAGGCTACATCTACCCCATCACAGTACTCAAAAAGCTCTCCAAATTTTGTGACTCTGCTTTAGTTCAGTTGGTGGTATGGTCCTATCCTTGCCTCTGCCAGAGGGCAGGCTTCCCTGTGCCTTGGCCAGGTGCTGGTGGCTCAGGTCTATAATCCTAGTGACTTGGGAGGCAGAGATCAGGAATATTGAGGTTCCAGGCCAGCCTGGGCAAATAGTTCATTAGACCCAAAATCCAAAATAACCAGAGCAAAATGGACTGGCGGTATGGTTCAAGCAGTAGAGTGCCTGCTTTGTAAGCGCAAAGCCTTGAGTTCAAACCCCAGTCCTACCAAAAAAAAAAAAAATCTATGTCTTTTCTTCACCCACAAGATTTGGAGTTTCCCCAAAGAAATGTTTGCTATGAAACATATCACACCCCATGCACAGGCAAAGAGAGTTTTAGAGTACAGTTTAAAGTCTACAGGTAAGTGATTTTTGGCATGTCCACGAAATGTGCAACCACTATAATCTAAGAATTTTCAACACCCCCAAAAAAACACTGACTCCTAAACAGTCATTTCCACTCTAGCTTCCCTATCTGTCAATTCCTTCCCCCACCCTCAGACCTAGGTACTAATTTACTTCCTCTGTGGATTTGCCAGACAGTTCGCTTAAATAGA